TATTTTGAGATACACAGGAAGTGGTAGCGCTTGTGCCAGCGCGCCATGTTGATGTCATGGCAAATACATATCAAACAATAGAGGTGCGTTCTTTTCATCGCAGCGCGAAGGCCACGTTGGAAACAGTAGCTTTGCTTCTACTCAGCAACGCTTTCAGCTTGGGCTTTTTTTTTCTTTCTTTTTAAAGAGGAACTTGCTTATTAATATCCACAGTACCATACAAAGAGTTTCTTTCACCTTGCTTCCTTCATGTAGCTGCTCTAATTCCCTAGATGGATAGCTATCTTTAGCTTGATAGCTAGCTTGGTAGATATCTTTCTATCTAGCTAGCTAGCTAGCTAACTAGCTAGATAGAAAGCTAGCTAGCTAGCTAAATTGGGGCAAAATGGTTGGAGACCACTGCTGTAGGTGATTTTTGCTCTGTCTAATGCAGATAAAATAAAACATCAGAAACATCTGTCAGTATGATGCATCTCAGGTGAACGCCATAGCTGCATTATGCCACAATTTTATTGTTTAAAGCATTTGTAAATTTAAAGGTGAAACTTATAACCAGACTTTTAGAGTTACAATCACAATGCAGTGACAACACATACAATGCCATGCAAAATTGTTTGTGTTGTTTTAGAAAGGAGTCAATAACCCCTCACTCAACAGATGGCAGGCCTCCAACAAGGCTAAACTGTTAACAACAAGCTAACGAAAACGTGGAGCCTGATGTTTGTTCGTCAGCAGGTTACTTCCTGGTTTCTGGACGGTAGTGGTGGACCGGCGGTGCCATTTATGATTCTAGTGGCGTGTTTGCCTCAAATGACCAAAATAAAATGCTGTATTTATCTTCACTTTTATCCAGATCCACTGCAATTTAATGATTCTTCCTTCACCACATGTCACATATCTAAAAAACAAAACAAAACAAAACATTGATTTAAGAAAATGCATTGATTTTTAAAATGCCCAATTATCCAAAATGAGAAGCGCGCACTATAACAGGATTTGGGTTAGCTTTGTAAAGTTCTGCGGTACTTGAAAATTTTCCACCCTCAGGTGTGATGTGTGATTTAGGTGTTTATATGTCTGACGTGCTCTTACAAAGTGTTGCAAAACAGTAGACAGGAAACATACTCTCCAAGGCATGACAGAAAAAGAGAGCGTAGTGCAGGGCAATCGACTTAACAGCATTTGGAAGGGGTCCAGTTCACTGTCCGCAGTGTGACTCCAATAGGGTGGGGCTTTGTGAAGGGAGGGAGGCGGACTGGATTTGACCATCAGACCATCACTTAAATACACTTTAACTTTACCCAAAAGCATCAAGCAGCACACCAGGCCAGTGTCAAAAGGTGAAGCAGCAATGCAAAGGTGCAACTGGATCTAACATTGCATCGGATCAATAAAGAGCATTGCTTTTAGATTCCTTGCGATCAGTCCCTTTTTTTTTTTTTTTTTTTTTTTTTTTTAATAAGAAAAACTAATTGGGAAGTTTTTGAGCAGACATGATGAGTCAGTGCTTGATTAGAGCCCAGCCAGGAGACTTGTGTCACCCCCACAAGTTCCAAATCACAAATTAGGGCACTGGATGTACAGATTTTCTCCAAACTTTTTTTTTTTTTTTTTTTAATCAGACAAACTGATGTGGTAGCTTTTTACTGCCATGGAATTTGGACTTTTGGGGCGCTTTGGGCAAGTGGTGAAGACTGTTGACAAGAAGTACCCTCGGTTTGATGACACTGACCCGATCAACCTTGAAGCTGATCTTCACGGCTTTGCCTGGAGAGAAACCCGATTGGATCACGATGGCCCCGCCGCTCAAGTCGTGCAAGTGTTCAGTCCAAATGGTGACAATGACACTCATCCTTTCTGGGTTCAAATGTCAGTCATCTCTTCCTGTTTCACAGGACGCACGCTTGCGGTGTGCACAATATGTCAAGCGACAACGACTTCCCCAAAATGGTTTCCACGTCTGCCCTTTTTTATAGGGTTTTTGATTTTTTTTTTTTTTTTTGGCCTTTCTCTGATCGACATGTGAGCCAAAGCGTTGAGGTGGTGTTTTTGCTTTTTGCATCTATTATTGAGATTCACGGACTGAGACTGTTCATCTTACAGCGCTTTACCAAATGCTATTATCATCCTGGATAAAATGTTCTCAGTTGATGTTGTGTGTGGTGTTCATGATTGCAAAATGTCAAAGGATTCGGGAAGATAACGATGTTCCTTTTTGCCAGAGGGGTCCAAGTTTATTAGTTTGATTTTAGAGCGACGCCATTTGAATGCTTTTTCCACCAGCTTGCTCATTAGAATGAAAGCAGTAGTTGCTCGGTAGGTTACATTGTGGTGACCTTACTGTAAAAAAAAAAAAAAAAATGTGTGATGCTTTTGTATTGGATGGCATTAGCGTGTGCAGATGTGCCTAATGAAGCAGCAAAATCAAGAAGTTGTGAGAGTGCACTTCCTCCTCTGGTTAATTTGAAATGCATGGAGTGGACTTGATCTTGATCTGGCTGTAGACTGGCGGCTCAGATGGCGTGAGGGGGTCGGGATCCGTTCCCGTCATCCGCCGCACTCACTGCAAAGGAGGTAAAGCCACTGCGCTGCTATTTGACTTTATCATGACCGCACACTGGAAAGTGATATTCGCTAATGACCGCATCGGCTGCAGCAATTTCTTCCCAGGCGGTAACCCGGAAAGTGAAATCGCAAATTATTAGTGTGATAAAAATATGGGCATACGACAATAACATCCGTGGTAATTGTAGCTGTCGCCACATTGCATACATCGCTCGAAGACGCAGACGGAAGAAGGCGCCACTTGTAGCTTGTTGGTATTGAGAGCCTTTCAAAATGCATTTACTGTTTATTCCCATAGTGTCCTTAAGTTATTATTTTTTTTATTGCCACTCAGCCGTTGCTGCTATCATTCATTGATCCGTTTATATTCGGGCATGCTTAAAGCCAGACTCGCGCAGCACTGCTCACTGGCACGTATCTCGGGAAACATTAGGCTGCTAATGATCTTGAGCGATATTTATATATTTTTTTTCAGGGTAAGATTGCTGTTTTATATTTATTTAAAAAAAAAAAAGAATAAGAATAATTTTAACGCATCTGGTGTAAGTTATGGAAGGAAAGATAACGCATCTTACACCAGATGGAAAGAAAGAAACAAACAAAAAAAAAGCTCAAGATTTTGCTCCAAGCATATCCCGCTGTACCCCCAAAAACATCGATGTGAAATTCAATATGGAAGTTTCATCTATTTTGGTCATTTGAATAGACAGAGGGCTCATTTCAAGCAGGGAGGGCGGGGTGGCGTCATCACCAAGGCCTCTCGGACAGCATACCACATTTAGACTTGGCATGGGACAGGTTGTCATGGAAACAAGGGCTGATTTATGGGATGAATTGTGGGGTCTTAAGAAACGTGGGCATATGTTCTGTATCAAAGGCACTTTCAAGGTAGCTTTGTGGTGGTGGTGGAGAGCCAGCCGCTCTGTTTCTGCTTGTTGGAACAACATGAAAAACCTGACGGTTTTTGGACCAACTTATGGTTGGAACTGTATTCTACACGCACATGAGCTCAAATAGATTGAGCACCACTGACCTCACTTGTTGGTTTAGATGTTGTGCACTCCCAAGAGACAGACACCTGCATTTTTTCTTGTCCCACCGCAACAAAATCTCGTATTTGGCCCATCGTTATTTCTGTGTCAGCCATGCTCTGCCAGAACTTATAACCTAATCAAAGGTTTTCTCGTCCATCATCCTTCCATTTTCACTTGCTTTTGTCCTGATTAGGGTGTGCCAAAGCCAATCACAGCTGCCCGTGCCCACACGAAAAAGCAAGTATCCCACGCCCGCATTACTAATCACGGAAGAGTCCCAGAACACAAAGCTGCGGGTCTCCGAAACGCTGAGTCAGACGATATGAATCAACAGTCCACATGGACCGGACACACAATGTGCAGTCAGCAGGCACATCCCGCTCCGTCGTCTCATGAGGAGCTTGCATGGGAACACCTCGGCAGTCGGCGCATTAGCATAGCTCGTCGCACGACTGAAACCGCCGATTGTGACACGTTAGCCAACTTCTGTATTTTGTTGTTTTGTAAATGCGTCTTTGCAAAATCTAAAGCTTCCGTTATATCTCTTTTAACTAGGCCAGTGTGTGTGTGTGTGTGTGTGTGTGTGTGTGTATACTGCTGCACCTGCTCTTCAAGATGCAAGCGCGAGAGCCTGCATAGCATGTGAAAAAGCCTTGACAGGAAGAAGCCTCGCGTTACAATGAGCGGCGACAGCTTTCAGCTTTTGGTGATTGACGTCAATGTGGTCCAACACAGACAGACGCGAGAGAAAACAGATGACCAAAAATAGGTTTCATGTAATCAGCCTTTCTTTCTTTTTTTTAAAAAATTTTTTAGTAGTAGTAGTAGTTATCTGAGGACTTAAAAAGATAACGTATTTACCGAGGTTGAAATATTATGTCTGTAGATGCATTGTAGTGTAGTAGTTGTCCGTTTTTAATGCTTGTGCATGAATCTGACCCGCGCATCTGTGTGGAAATAAAATGTGAAAGACAGTGTCCTTCTATTGTATGTTGCCAGGCTTCCAGTGAATCAGGAAGACTCCCCCGCCCCACCCACTCCCACACCCTTCCAGTGCTGAGGCGGCTCATTGTGAATGTGCTGTAACGGGCTAGTTGTATTGAGGCTAACGGAGCTCTTTCCAGATACTTTAAATGTACAAAATCAAACAGCTTCAGATCCAATTCGATTCTATTGCATACAATTCGAGTTAATGTTGGATCGACTTAAAACACAGGCGAAGAAAAATGGTTACTATTTTGCCTTTGCCTTAAAAGAATAAAAGGCACTCCCCAAAAATCAGTTAACGATAATACAAAATATACACCGGTTTTGATTTTGTGTAAAAACGACTATGTTGCTGTGACCTTCATCTTGTCTCATCTGAGGTAAAAATATTAAAGCGGTATTCCTTCTTTGTAGGCGCTGAAAAATCAGTGGATGCCATGTCGGTGGTGCGGACAGGGCCTCGTCTAAGAGGAAGAAGACTCAGGCCACAGTGATGGTCCACCTCAGTCTGCAGGAAGCAACTCCCGGATCGCTCCCAAAACTCGCTGCCGCGCACCCGGCTGAGCCTTTGCCGCATTCTCAGCGCTCCGGGCTTCATCGTTCATTGACACGCCAGAGCTACCGTGTGTGCGCACTTGAGGCCATTTCAAGTGTTTTGAAGCAGGACTTGAGGTGTCGCTTTCACTGAGCGGAGGTTCGTCTTCCAAGAGTTGCCGTCTCACGTCTGCATCATCCTGGGGATTATATCATTGGATCGGAGGTCATCGCCCTGACAGCATGCAGTCCGACGACCTATTCGTTCGCAAGTTTCGGCGCCAGAACGTGCGGCCGCCTGTCGCGGCCGTCAACTTTGATCCCAAACGGGAGGCGGGCGTGGTGGAGTGGCCACCCAGGAGGGATGGAGACGGGTCCGACGGAGACAACCTGACCCCGAGCCGGGCGGGCCTGACTCTGCGCGCGGTGGGCCGGGGCCACATCATGCAGAGGAGCAACAGCGACGTGACTTTGGGAGACTTGGACTCTGGCGGGAAGGCTGGAGGGAAAGCGACGCGGGCGGTCGGTGAGAAGGCGGGCGTGGGGGTTCAGGGGGACTCTGGGGTGCTGCTCCACAGAGAATATGGAAGTCTATCCTCCCTGGAGAGACAGTCTCAAGTCCAGGATGCAGGAACTGCAAACCGAGGGCCCCTTAGCCCAAATGCCCTCCGCTTTAAAGACCCCTTCCTGCTCTTAGGACTCCAAGGCAACCTACCGGAACCCGATGGCTTCTTCAGAAACTTGTCTTCTGCCACAGGGGACTCCCCAAAACCTGCAAAGCCCCCCAAGCCTGAAGGTCTCAGTAAGAAATCCAAACCCGCGTCCCCTCAAATCCCTCAACCCGGTCCTTATGATAACATCGGGGGCGGTGCTTGGGTGAGGAACTTTGCCCATTACGACGTTCAGAGCATCCTGTTTGACCTCACAGAGGCGGCCACCAACCGCGACAGCATTGGACGCAAAAAGAATATCACCTCAGGGGCCTCCGCTGCCTCCCAGATGCGGCCCCTCGCCCACGGCGCGCCCTCCTCGCCCGCGCCGGGCGGCGTGGGCAACGGCGGCGTGGACGACCCCGAGCAGTCGCTGCTGCTGGATGAGGGCGACGGCAACGACAACGAGCTCCTGCTCAGCTGCCCCCACTTCCGAAATGAGACGGGCGGAGAGGAGCAGGTGGGCCTGGGCCGATCGCAGGCCAGGCGGGGGCTGTGGCTGAGCCCGCGAACCCCCAATGATGCAGCCTCGGTCCTGGAGGAGCCCAGAGAAAGTCACATCCAGCAGCAGGGCAAAAGCAACTATTTCATAGAACATGCGGATCTGGGGGCGCATTATTATCGCAAATATTTCTACATGAAAGGTAAGAAGTAAGGGAAAGATGTTCAATACATCAACAAATATACACTTACCGGTCACTTAGAGGTACACTCGAACAATGAGAAGTTCTTCTCTCCAGCTATAACCACAATTATGCACATTGAGGAATCAATCACGCATTTCTTTTTAGATTGTGCAGGTGTACCTAATGATGTGGTCAGTAAGTTCACATGCGTGCGTGTATGTTCTTTCCAGATCATCAGAATTTCTTTGGCATGGATGATCGCCTCGGGCCAGTGGCCATCAGTTTCCGCAGGGAGGAAAAGGAAGGCACCAGCGGAGCTCAGTACAATTACCGAATCATCTTTCGCACCACAGAGGTAAAACGTCAAACTTTCTTGCGCTCGTCAGCGTCCGGAGAGCCGATGGCGGAACTTTTGTCCCTCATTGAACTTTCTCCTCAGATGAAGACTCTGCGAGGGTCCATCTTGGAAGAGTCCGTTCCCTCGGCCGCCCGCCACACCACCCCTCGAGGTTTGTCTCCCAAGCGGCTGCTGGAGTTCATCATGCCCGAACTCAACCTGCACTGCCTCCGCTTGGCTTCAAACTCCCCCAAGGTCCGCGATACCTTGCTGAAGTTGGATGAACAGGGGGTAAGATTCCCACGACACAAAACTATTTCGAATTATTGCCTTCTTTTTTTTTTTCCTAACCTGAATTTATTCATTGATGATGGGTAAGTAATCAACTAAAAGTGTTCTCATTGGGGGTTTTTTCTCCACATTGAGGTTATCATTAAATCATTGTCATATTTATCCTTTAAATGATAACTTTCAAATACATTTTTTTAATTATTATTTTGGGTGGATGGATGGAATTTGGGGCAGTGTGCATTTGGCAGCATGATAGCACAATTTATACCCCAAATTGTTTTTATGGAGAAATCGTCGCAAATCCAATCATCGCTTGTACTTTTCCGTGTCGGCGCCAAATCACACTTTTCTCAGCGATTCCGTCACAGTCCGGCAAAATTTACAATGGCTCGGTCTGAGGCAAATTCCAGTGACTTTGTCTCTTTTGTGTTTCGTACACTAGCTGAATTTCCAGCGCAAGGTCGGCGTCATGTACTGCCGAGCCGGCCAGAGTTCCGAGGAGGACATGTACAACAACGAGAGCTCCGGCCCGGCGTTTGAGGAGTTTTTGGATCTACTGGGCGATCGTGTGCGACTGAAGGGCTGGGAGAAATACCGAGCTCAGCTGGACAACAAGAGTGAGCGAAAAACACTCGCCCACACTCTGATATCTAGAGCTCACTTTTTTTTTTTACAAAGCCGCTATCAGGAGGGCATCGGCGTAAGCTTTTGACGACTTAACTCCTCATTTGATTCCTGGCTGCAAAGTAGCTCTGCTGGTTATCTCACCGCGGGTGTACCTGCACTATGACACGCAGCCCAAAATATGGCGCTACCGCTTCTTTGCGTGACATGCTTTTCTCGTTTTTGCACAGCCGACTCCACGGGGACGCATTCCCTCTACACCCGCTACCAGGACTATGAGATTATGTTCCATGTGTCCACCATGCTGCCCTACACAGCCAACAATACTCAACAGGTACAGTTGAAGCGCAAAGAGTGTCATGACACGGATCACTTTCTGTAAGAAAGAAGCGTGAGGCCTCGTCAAATAAATCGCCATTTCTAAAGACTGTGACATGCTCTCGGAAAAAGAAGAAAAATCTTTGGAGTCGACAAGAAGCATGACATGAAAATCCCCCCCGTGTTCACTCGCACTACAGGAACAGATTCAGACTCGCCTTGCTGCTCGGAATTTGTCAGATCCGTGCGCAATGTGGTAATTAAGACGTTAATGCACAAAATGGACATGACATGCTCTTATAAACACAAAGAGGCCAGAAATTCCTCGTTTCACGCTTCGCTTTGTGGCCGCTGCACGTGGGCATTTGCAGGCCGGATTGTTTGAATGCACCAAGTATGCTTCAACTCTCATTTTTGCCAGTTTCTTTTTTATTTTGCTGTTGATAATATTTGGGTTTGTTGTCAAAAAGATGAATATGAGACTGGATCTCTTTTCGGTCTGCAGCAATGTCCAATCTTATGGAGGGGAGTTTAGTGTTTTCTAAATGTAACGATTGATTTTGAAGTGGTGAGTTGAAAAGTGACAGCATTTCCTGAAAAAGTCAAAGTCATTGCATTTGGATTGTTTGTTGGCTTTGTGTACATGTGTCGTGTTTGTCTATCAATCCCCATTTCTATCTTTAAAAAAAAATCTTTTTTTTTTTTTTTTTAGTTGCTGAGGAAACGCCACATCGGCAACGACATTGTCACCATCGTGTTCCAGGAGCCCGGCGCGTTGCCCTTCACGCCAAAGTCCATCCGCTCCCACTTCCAACACGTCTTCATCATCGTACAGGTTCACGAACCCTGCACAGACAACACCTATTACAGGTCTGACGAGATGCCTTATATTTGCACTCTATGATTGGCGTTAGCAAGTAGACGTTTGTGCACAGCCGTCGACCTGAATCGCGCACCAGTTACGCAATATCATGAGATCCAATGGTGCACTGGCTCGGTCAAATACTGTCTGTAATATTTCGCCATTTTCAATCAAGTTAGAAAAAAAAGCATTATATGTAACATGTGCATTGATATGTCAATCAATGTATCTAAGTGTCAAATGAAAATTGAGCATTAGCAGCATGATGAGCACCACCATATCCAGCCCCCCTAAAATATTTGTAAACCTGACCGGTTGCACACAGACCTCTCCGACAAATACTAAAGGCTCTCTTCACTGTCACTCTCTTTTTCGTCTTCCCTCTCAGGGTGGCTGTGACACGCTCGAAAGACATGCCATTATTTGGCCCGCTCTTCCCTAAGGGCGCTCTCTTCCCTCGCTCGCCGGCATTCAGAGACTTCCTCCTGGCCAAGGCGGTCAACGCTGAGAACGCCGCCGAGAAGTCGGAAAAATTCCGCTCGATGGCCACCCGCACGCGACAGGAATACCTGAAGGACTTAGCTGAAAACTACGTCACCACGACGCCCATCGACTCCTCCACCAAGTTCCCGCTGCTCTCCCTGGGAGGCAAGCGCAAAGACAAGCTGAAGGGCGCCAAGGGGGCGGAGCTGCACAGTGCCGGGGCGCTGGTGTGGGCCGTGACGGTGGACGGCGGGGAGGACGGCGAGGCGGGAGAGCGCAAGCTGCCCTGTCTGCTGGGCGTCTCCGCCGAGTCGGTGGTGCTCATCGAGAGGTGCACGCGCAGGGTGGTGTTTAACTGCTCCTGCAGGGACGTCATCGGCTGGAAGGCGGTGGCCGAAACCAAAGAAGGCGGGCCCTGCTTGGACATCTTCTATGAGCGCGGCGAGTCGGTGTCCATTAGCGTGATGGAGAGCCAGGCGGAGGATTTGAGAGAGGTGGTGCAGAGGCTGGAGGTGGGTGATCATCGCATTCATATTTCTGCAACACTTTTATCGGACACGGAACCATTTGTGGTTTACTCAAGTGAGTGTTCAAAATTGACCCTTGGTGCCTGACTATGAAGCAGAAGAACCTACCAGTTAACCAGCGACGTAAAGTCATGACTGTGATTTAAAATGTATGTTAATCGAGGTTAATTGTTGAACTATTCTGTGTCACGGGAAATTGTACGTCCCCATTGAGGGGAATGGACTGTACGTCCTGCACCACAACTACAGTAGTTGGCACTCTAATGTCTTTGCTCAAGGGCACCTTTGCCTGAAATGTTCAACCGGTTTCCTGTTTTTCCTTTACTGTCTTTTGGAGGGCATCGAAACCATGGTGAAAAAAATCATGATCCATCCATTTAAAACTTTTTTCTTTTTTTGCTGCTAATCCCATTCAGGGTGACAGTTGAGCTCGAGCTCAGATGACTGTGGGCAAGGGCACATATAGGCCGAGAACTTATGGCCAATTTTAAGATCTCTATTGACAGTGTCAGAAGGACCGTGTCTCCTCAGTCTTGGCTTTTAATCATCATCATTACTTTCTACAACTCCTTTTGCCCATGTAATGGGATCCATAGGATGGCGCATTATTGATCCATCCAAGTCTGCGTCCTTCTCTCATCTGCAGTTAGTCACTCGTGGGTGCGAGGCCCTGGAAGTCACGCCGCTACGTGACGGCGTGGGCCAGCCCGGCTTTCTGATGAACGAGGAGGGCTTTGTGACGGACCTGCAGCGGTTCTGCTACGCCGAGAGCGGCGGCCTACAGCTGTGGGCTCGCGTGGTGCGCCTGTGCGGCCATTCCCTGGTCCACCTCAGCACGGAGGAGAGGACCAGGCTGCTCCGCACGGCGCACAAAATCCACATCACCGTCATCCCGCCGGATGAGAACGGGAAACCCCGCAGGTGGGAGAAGCTGCAGAGTGAACGGGTGGGGGATGTAATGATAGGAAGGGTAATACACAGGAAAAAGGGGGGGGGGGAATAAAAACAAATCACATGCTGCTCACAAGCCACAGTGTGCTGTGACGTATGAAGCAGCATTTTAGTCCTCCGGTCATTTGACAGCATCGCTGATGGAAGAACAATTTCTTGGGTGGATATCGACTTTGCAAATGATTTGAGTTCTCCGTGTTCTTTAGGAGCTTCTCTGAGCTGTACCAGAAAGCCATCAAGGATGCAGAGTGTAAGCCTGGCGAGGACCAGTCCAGTGAGGCCTGGGTGCTCGACGAGCGAGAAGAAGAGGACGAAGAAGCGGACAAGCAGCCGAAGGGGGACAGCATCACCGAGGCGGACGCGGCCGAGGTCCAGGTGGAAGGCGACGGGGCGGAAGAGCATCAAGGGCCAAGCGAGAGAGGTGTCGCGGACTCGCTACTGCTGCCACCAAGCCTCCCCTTGTTACGGGCCACTTCCCTGCAAGACCAAACGTCCAACCAGGACCAGGAGGGCTCGCAGCTCACACGCAGCTTCTCTTTAGAGAGGCATTCATCCTACAGCGACACGTGTGAGGGGTGAGTCTTTGAAATCATCACTCAAGAGAATTGCTTCGGGTTGCAAACGTAACTTCCTGTCAGTCGTAGACGGGCTCGCCTGTCGTGCAAACGTGTGGAAGTGTACATTCAGAAATGAGCCTCGCCATTTCTTTTCGTTCATGAAACACAACTCTGATTGCATAATCAGGTTACGAAAAGCGCCATTTGAAAAGGGGAAAAAAAGAAGTGGGTCGTGCATCAAAGCGAAATCAACATTGCTTGATACGGATTGGCTCGATGTCTGATGCAAATGAGAACTCCAAACTATCAAAAACATGCACTTGCACGCTCCCGAATGATTTTCAAAGTCCCGTACGACAAAATAAGTGCATTGCGATCTATTTTTTTAAAAGAGTGTGATAGGGAAAAAGCAGCAGTCAGACAAGACCAGCTCCCACAACGCAATCCTGCGGATTATGTGTTGGAGTGCTTCAAATTCTGATGACCTCTGACGTCTGCAGTGCACACAAATGTCACCAAGCTTTAACAGCCGGATTTGTTTTTGTGCCCCCCCACCCCCACCCCCGTCCCATGCCACATCGATCTCGCTTAACAGACACATTTACGACAATGTGGCCTTGAAAGAGGACCGCCACATCTATAAGAATGTCGGCGAGCTGAGAGATGCCACGCCTGATCTAATACTGGCGGTCAAGCCCAAATTTGCCCTGGAGGACGAACAGGTGACCGAGTGAGACAGAAGGACGCATTACAGATTTCTGCTTCATACTATCCCCTTGCCTTTATCTCTTGCTTTGTCTTTATTTTATTTTTCTTGCATCAACAGTTCATTGCGGACTTCGGTGACGACAAAGCTTCAGCGAGCGAATCGTCTCTCTCCTCCTCCAGGTTGTCTTGTGTGGACCGAGCCGAGAGGAACTCACGAGCCTTAAGTCTTCACAACTCCATCACCAAGAGTAAGACTTGAAAAGCTGACAAATGGAACACACGCACACACACGAGACACAACATTGGGTACACGATTTTTTTTTTTTTAATGTCCCCGAGCATGGGCTCAAACAAAGCCGCTCCCAAATGAAACAATTACAAGCCATCTCTTCTCGATTTGTGCCTCCCCCCCCCATATCCTTTCTGTGTTAAACTGCTCTTTTCATCATCGTCCCGCTGCTCCCCACTGCATCCCCTTTGTCCTTCCTCCTACCCTTCCGTCCATCCTGCCCCCTTTTTTCCGTTAATCTAATATCACCCCTCGCTCTGCTGCCACCCCCTGCCAGGGCGGGGATAAAAAGGAGGACAGATGGGTGGTGGGAGGGGTGGAGTTTTAGTTCAAGACACACACTCCTAATGCCATCTGCCGTGCCTCCGCTGAGACTATCAACCTCACCATTTAACAGCCATGAGTGGACACCCACTCCGCAGATTTATGATCATATGTGTGGGGGGGCATCAATAAAACTGTGGATTTTTTTTTTTTTTTTGCCTTTTGTAGAATCACAAGTGTGGCAGTTGTGGCATATGATTTTGTTTTGATAGCTATACTGTATATAATAATTCTCAGTAGTGTACTTTATGATTAAAATCTTCAATTCGCATTCACGCTAATGTAAAAAATAAAAATGCCCTACATTCAGTCTAGACTGCGCTAAAACATCTGCAGAAGCATAGAGCAGTTCAGCTGAATCTGGTCGGCACTAACACAGCAGCGCCACCTGGTGGCCCTTCCCCCCTGCCCCCCCCCCAAAAAAAAAAACTTTTAATGCAAAATGTGAGCGTCTCTGAAAAGTGCTGTCGCAGTGTCCTCCTGGCCCAGATGCATTTTATTAAGATGCGTTTCACGCTGGCGGCTCTCCTGATCTTAAATCCTTGCTCTCAGTTCTCTCGGAGACGACGGATTCGACCGAAGAAGAGTGGCAGTCCATCGCTGACCTGGCCACGGCCTGCCGCAGCATCCTGGAGGCTCTGTCACGCGAGGGTGAGCAGCCGTTTAACCGTGCAATGATGTGAATGTCAAATAATCAGCGGGAGGCAAACTAATGACATCATCATGATCACTGATTGTGGGGAAAAAAAAAAAATAAGGAAATGCCAAATGTGTTCAGGCATTCAAACCTGCGCCTTCACACACACATTCACCAGCCAGAACATTAGGTACACCTATAAATATATATACAAAAATAATTCAGATCAATTTTGTTCAGAAAACATTTATAACCGGTGCTCGGTGCCCACTCATTAAATGCAAACGTTCAGTCGGTTTATCATGAATGATCGCTTCTTCCCCCTAAGTGAACTGCGCAAGTGCATTGCGCTCGAAATTCAGTTACGCTGCTTTGTTTCAAAGTCGATGGCAGCCATCTTCGGACACTAATGATTAATGAAGAGCAGTTGACAAAATGCGTAGACCACACAAAGGTTAACAAGCGCGCCCAGTGCTCAATTCATTTATTGTGTACGTTGCCATTCATGATTTTGCAGACGCTGTGCCTGGTGTGTATCAATTTTCCATATTTTCTTTGTAGAGGTTCTCTCAGTCACCACCCTTCTGCCCACAGTCGAAAAACATCCCCGTTGTCAAATTCAAGATTCTAAATTCTTTGTGAATTGCCGCCCTGCGATTTACTGGTGACCGGTCCGGGTTCTACCCCACCTCTCGCCCCTAGTCCGCTGGGTTAGGCTCCGGCTCGCATGTGACCCCTTTTGAGAAGAAACACTGTAAGAACTAGATGATGGACCCCGTATTGGGTTTGATGCAATCAAACATGTCTCTCGTCACAGATCGGAAAGCTGGAGACCAATCGGGAGGTGAGACGGATGGCAAGATGAACACAAGGGAGAGGTGGGTCACGGTTTTGCTGCGCAACAAATGCTGTCGTTAAATTATTCCACACAAACAAACCACCTATTCGTCAAAAAAAAAAAACATGCTAGCACAAACCAACGCGGCGTCACACACGGGCAATCAAATATGCACACTCGCATTTTTTTTTTTTTTCACAAATATATTCGGGAGATCGGTGCACTGTACTGATGACGAGTCATCCATAACGTCACTCGTTTCTGACGTGTCGCCGCTTGTATGTGCCGCAGTGACTCTCCAGGCCACCTGGAGGAGAAAGTGTCACAGCTGGAGGCCACGCTGAAGAAGCTGCAGGATGACCTGCAAAAGGTGCCCTGATTTTCGTGTTGGCTGTTAGTTTTTCCACTGAATTGCACAAGGAGGGTCAGCGGGTGGGAACAAACGTTTTGAAGTTGTTGGGCTTCGAGGCGTGTGATTTTTGTGTCTCGTTTACATGGTCAAGGCCTCACAGGCAATGCAACAAACAACCTTTGCTGTCGAGAGGAAGCCGACTCGGCGCAGAGGTTAAATACAAACACTGTTGTCTTTCTTTTTTTTCTTTTTACTTTTTTTTTTGCACTAGTACTGTAAAATGTAACATATTTTCCTTTTACGCTCGGTTGAGAACTACTCCATGTTGTGTTCATGTCGAAAATGGTGTGAAAAATTGTATGTGTTGGGCCAGAATATTTACTATGGACTTTTTTTTTTCCTTTCAGCAAACTGCTGCTTGACAAAAATACTTTGAACACAGAGTTGCCTTGCATTGAGAATTGTCAATGACTGTACAGAATGTGTGTCTACTCTTTGAGTGTGTGTACAAAACTTTTATTCCTCCCTATAATTTATATGGAAAGTTATTTATAAAATTTCTTGACTGGGACAGCAACTGTGACTCTTTTGAATTTTGACTAATTTTATGGGTGACTTTCTAACACATTGATTAACCGGTTGGTCAACTTCTAAAATCGGGTCCAGAAAGCAATTTTGATCGAAGGTTTTACAGCAAATGAAGGTGGTTTGAACAGTGCGTTCATATTTTGCCCAGCACACTCTTCAGACAAGCAGGAACAAATTTAAGTAAAAAGCAACTTTTAAAATTGGGCAAGGTTGGTGTATGTGTGCATTTTAATTCCTAAAACCCTGCCTGTGGATGGTATGATCAACAATGGCTTCTCAACCATGTTCCCTGCATAGCCAACGCTGATCTGACGACCTCAGTTGTGAGGCTACATGCGTGCATGTGTATCACTTTGGCCGCCTCACTGAAAAATTTCTCGCTGTGCAGCTGATTAAAAGTGTTTAATTTGTCCAAATGAACATTCCCCGATAGAAGTTTTTGTCAAGGTTGACTGGAAATGTTCCACGTGTTTGCAACCCAATTGAAACTGAGTAGCAGTGAAGACAGCAGCACTGGCTATTTTTTTGGTTGTTTTTTTTTGCCTGTGTGTTTCAGCACCGTTTTGGGTTGTCGAGTGATGTCATTCACTGCTTCACCATGTGCGTTGTCTCAGTTTCACCTCCCCTCCCTTTCCGTTCCTGCCACACGCAGCGATCTGAGAGACGGCCTTTTGTTTTTGTTTGTGTGCCCGTGTCTTCCAGGAGAAGGAGGACAAGGCGGTGCTGCAGGCCGAGGTGCAGAGCCTGCGGCAGAACAACCAGCGGCTGCAGGAAGAGTCGCAGAGCACGGTGGCGCGCCTCATCAAAGTCACCGAGCTTCTGTGCAACGTCAACAAACCCTGTTAGCCCGCGCCGCCGCCACTAACTGCTGCTTCTGTGCAACGTCAACAACCCCTGTTAGCCCGCGCCGCCGCCACTAACTGCTCCTCCGGCACAACAACAATCAGCAGAACAATGTCATGTGTGCGCTCAGCCTCCGAACATGGCATGCACATCCTCCATAAACTACTAGAAAGTGTATGCAAATAGACTCCTAAAAGTAATGACATTCCCTGACAAGTGTGTACTTCTGGCTGCTGTTAAGTGTGCTCTGCCCGAGTGATCTCTCTGCGTGTGTGTTAGTCGCACGTGTGCGCATCTCCTACTGTACTTTGCTTCAAATACTTGACAAGCTGGGCTGATCAGCACTTCCATTTTAAGCGAGGACGACTGAGAGCAGCATGTTGATGTGAAAATTGACCAAAAGTGTACACATCCAGTTTAGAGAATCGTGTGTGTGTGTGTGTGTGTGTGTGTGTGTGTGTGTGTGTGTGTGTGTGTGTGTGTGTGTACCACTTAAATGTGAACAGTAGTGTTACATTCTAGGAAGGTCTTAAAAGACGGTGTTAAAAAAAATGACAAGGAAAAGGTTGCATCATGCCAATCTCTTCCTTCTTAGTCGTACTGTACTCACGTTTTAGGAAGGGATGGTCCGAATAATCCCTTGAGGAATGCACACGAGGGGAAAAACAAGATGAGTTTACGGTATACGTGTACGTGCACTGGAAAAACGGGGTTCCCTTGAAGACTCACAATGGCAGGAAAGAAGCGTTTCCTTCCATGACTTGTTTTCCTCTAACCTCGCTCAATATTGTAGCGGCCATACTGTAGAAGTTCTCCTCCTACTGGCCTCGCCAAGCCAAACGGCAGCTTGTATAGCTTTAGGTGTCAAGGAAACACAATTTCACACAACAATAGTCCGAATATTGCATCAAACATTAGCGGCTGGCTTACGAGTGGTAACGGTGAGAGGAAATCTTCCCAACGTGATTTCTGTTTTGTTTTCTGGATTCTTCCTTGCACTTTTTTGGAAGTCAAATCAGCACTGGACAGAGGCACGCATTGGATTTGAGTTATCTTGCCAGTGCTCTTTCCTCTACTTTACCTCACTTTTTTTTTTTTTGTGTGTGTGTGTGTGTGTGTGTGTGTGCCCACCGCTAACGAGGTGTGTTTCAAAAGAGACTGATTGCTGCTCCTCAGTGCCAACACACGCCCAGGCAGCTCTTCGAGCGTTCCACCAGGAATCAAGATCCTTCCATCCGTTGCTTTTTTTTCTTCCAAACACCCACTCAGACTCTCAATGCTCTTAGTGTACAAACTTTTCTCTTGTAATGTTATTTTAGAGTCACTGTGAATACCCGGTACCAGCATATAAAGATACAGTATATACAGATGAAATTATGAATCTAATGTTTATTATTATCCGTATGTGAGGATGCTTTGTACAGCTCCTGTTATACAGACATCATCTCGCGGACATGCTGAAGCCTCCAGACTGAACTATCGGTGTGAGAAGACCTGTTTGAACTGTGTCTCGTCGTGTTGTTTCGATTGTTAAGAGGTCGGTGAAGCATGAGAATGTGCCAAGCAACGTCCAAACTTCCCCTCTGTTTGTGGATGTGTGTGCGCGTGCGTCGACATGTAACTTATTAATCATGTAAACGTGTGGATTTTATTGTAGCTGTTGAAACTTGAGGGGGAGCTGATTGGAGGGGGTGAAAAATGTGAACAAGCAGAAGAAGGCAAGGCGAGCTTGATTTGAAAGGTGACTGTGGGAGCCAGCGATGATGAAATCATATCTGTAAAGCTTCGCGTTCTAGCTTTCAAGAGGTCTTTTTCAACATCATCGGGTACGCCTTAACGAGCGAGATCCTGACAGGACGGTCAAAGTGTGAGTTCGCTGACTTTGTGCCTAACTGCAAATGTAATGTATGTCGAGCCAGCTGACTTTTCTCATTTCGCTGCCCTGTGGTTGCACCGACTCGCCCTTTCAGTTGCAGGCGATCGTTTTAACATCGGATCTTTCATCTGCTGTGTGAGCAAAACAGATTTCAGATGATGATGATGTGTTGTTGTTGTTGTTGGGCTGAACAACAAGGGTTGTAAGTGAAGCAATCAGGTAAATATACGATTTTGAAAATTGAACTAAAGTGGAAAAGGGGTGCTTCACGTGACTTGATGATGCATTGCAATCAAGTTTGAAACAGACATGAATGTCTTGAATGTCCTGAAGTTTCTCAATACTCAATTACGGGCATTGCGTTTGAAAATAAATCATATCTGAAAGTCCATTCAGTTTGAAGGACACAAACAATGTGATGTTTCTTTATGAACGAAAGGAAGGAAAGATGAGGCACAACTCAAGTACAGTCCCGTGTTCATCATCAGAGAACTTAAAGCACTGCAATAATAGCATTTGTGGGGTGGAAACTTGAATGGGGGGGGGGGTGGCACTTAGGCTAGATAGAGTTGCTGTCATGTTCACAGTACCGGATGACACCACACCACAACACAAACATTGTATTTCCACAGACTTTCCCCCACGTGTAAATCTCAAGCATTAGCCAAAGAAACATGCTTTCTCCTCCCTGCACTGACATTGGGAGGACTTATGATGACAACACTGTGATGGCCGATGTCTTTATTTGGGGCTGAAGCACAGGATCAAGTCTTCACTGGGAGATTCACTGTCACGTACACACAGCACAAGGTCCGCTTGACTCCGCTATAAATACAGACACGTTGTATTTTAGATTTCACTCCTGCGTGCATAGCAACTTCACTTTCTTGTTTGATGTTTTCTGCCAGGAAGAGATGGCGCAATGATGCTTTCAAGCCCAAAAGAGTTTTCCAAGTCTGAATCAATAGTGACGTCACTACATAGTTGTTCAGGGTGAATCGCGCCATTGACCACAAGGAGGCACTACGGTCGGACATTTAAACTTCCTGACGACAATATCGATAAAGATTGTGGCCAGCATCATTTTGGTGTTATATTTAGGGGAAAAAAATGAACGACGCTTAGGAATGGCGCTAGTGTTTTCCTTGCATTTCTATCAGCGGACAGGTGTTAACGTGGCCAATCAGCAGTGAATAACCCCTTTGCTCGGCCTAAACACTTAAAATAAATAAATAATCAGTTGCAGGTACCGAGTTTTATATTTTTAAATGAATATATTGGTTTGGTTTCAACCTGTTTCGATTAGCCTTACTATTTTAATGTTCTCTCTAGAGGGGAGGGGATATCCGCCTTGATACGTTGCTGTTGACTGACAGCTATGCTAGCCAATCAGATTCTAAGTTAGCCGAAAAGCTCATTTTGCTTTGCACCAGAAATACAGTACAACGTACAGGACTCAATTGTTAGTCCCCTGGTGGTAAATAACGCGTTAGAAGTGAAATGCAAAGAGTAACACTCACTGGCCTGCAGTAAAACAAAAATGGGGGATTTTCTAGGAAAAAAGTAATCAGTTTTTGTGAGTGAAATGCCTTTTGTCGGTCATTTTTAATATGAGTCTAAAATGCACTTTCTGTTCGACTATGCTCGTGTACATTGCAGCTTTATTGCCTGTATGCGAAAATGAGGCCCATTGTTGCTTATTTTCAGGTGCAGTAACTAAATGCGGCTTTAGTTGTTGCCTAAAATTGCTAAATGACGTTGGCTTGCGGTATGATGTCCTCGTGTTATTTAGTTTAGTTACATAGTTTACACAGTGGAATTACAGTTTTTTAAAAAATGTGCATTTTAATGAGAGTCAATTATACGCGGTCCCTATCCTAGAGTTCTGTCGTCCTCTTGTGGTCGTTGAAGAGAAGTGCAGGCGAGAGGAGGAGGAGGAGGAAGAGGAAGGAAGGCGAAGGGGGTTCTCCCAGCATGTCGCCTCCTGTTGCCGCCCCTCACTGTAGGGGCTGCCGGCGACCTTTCAGTCTGCTCACGTGAACGCAGACAGCCGCGCAACTACGCCGTGACGCGCTACGAGCTGTCCGCAGCTTTGTGGTGCAGTAGCGGCCTGGCCTGTTCGCCTCGTGCGTCGGGCTGGAGAACCAAAGTGGAACCGTTTCCTGACTAATATTTTTTTTGCACGCTCTCTGTGGGAGGTAGTTGTCAGTACAGTAATAATTGCAGTAGTGGCGGTAGCGGCAGTGTTGTTTGGTCGCGTTTTGTTCAAGGATAGTTGTTTGAAGACAGGGCGCAACAAATGTTTGTGGACATGCGGCCAACGGAGGAATGAGAGCAGCGAGGCACCGGCGGCCCTTCCAGCGGTTCTGCTGCTGCGGAGTCGGGCTGCTCGCCGTCTTGTGGCTCGCTCAGGTCATCCACGCACCAGGTGAGTTGAAAGAAATGGTTGCAAACACTTCCGCTCATTTCCATATGCACAGCAAAAAACGTGTTTGAGTAGGCAATATGATTAGGATTGTTTAAAAAAAATGTTAGCAAAATGTTTCTTCATACCAGTGAGAACCAGTGGCCCTGGGTGAGGATTGAAAAAATATGTTCATTCATATGAAAACATTTTTTATTCACTTAATATCACCATTGGAAACTATAAACCGAATTTGCACCCTAATGGTAAAAAAAAACCTTCCCCACTGTTGTTTTATACTTTGTACTTCAGTGTTTCTTATTCCTTATTGAACCAAGGTACAAACTGTATTTTACATTAGAACAAATTTCACAGCTTACCACTAACAAAAAAAAAATGTAATAGAATCATATTTACTAATATAATGATGCCCTTGTCTCAAATTACTCACAAATTTACGTACTCTGCGGCACATAAAGCTGTTTTATAAATGTTAACGTTTAGCTACACAGTTTAATTGTACCTTATGCCATCTAGTGGAAGTGCATGTAATTGCTCTCCCTGTAACTCCATGTCGCTGGCATGGACAGATGAATAAAGATCTTGATGATTTGTCATACATCAGTTGGGTTAATTTCAGATGTCACACCCGATGATCTCTCAGGGCGAAAAATATGGAAAGAAAATCGAGCATCATTTTATTTGTCAATGCAGATATCACGTTTAGTTTTCTGGGTGAAATGGAATGTTTAGTTATCACAAAGAGAGCACACTCATGAGTGTACAGTTTCCTTATAATGTGCCATTTCAAAAAGCATTTTCAGATTCATTTTTAATGTATCATAGGTGGTAGAGGCTCTCTTTTTGGCATTGAAATTGTAGTTCATAGTTGCTGCAGGAAGATTACGTAAAACACATTTGGCATGTCAAAATCCAATCATTGAGGATCACGTCCATCGGGTATCCAATCATTCATTTCGGCTGGCAATTATTCGTTGCAAAACACTAAGAATGAAATAATTCAGCGTCACTTCCTTTTGACTTCCTGTCAAAGGGAGTGAAGACTTTCGGACATCAGTTTCTACATTTAGGTCAGTACTTGTATTTTGTGTTAGGTTCTCAAAGAATTGAACGAGTTGGATTTCGAAGAAGCCAAAAGCATACCCCCTCAAGCGCCTTCTAAAAATACTCCTGTCTCGCTCATTATGCTTTCAACACCTTTCACACCCTGCTTCACGGTCATCAGCAGCATCAACACCTGCGTGTGTGTGTGTGTGTGTGTGTGTGTGTGTGTGTGTGTGTGTGTGTGTGTGTGTGTGTGTGTGTGTGAGAACCATATAACGGCATGAACACAAGTGATCTTTATTTCTCTTCTGTCAAATGCATTTTGATTTCATCGCGACCCTCAGCATCAGTCGCCTAAAAAAAGTAGCCTTGTCATGAATATTTACACTTCAGCTCAGAATTACGAGGGCGTCTGCGACCCGGGGGAGAATTTTTTTCCTTGAGGACCAAAGGCAGCTCAGCTTAAAAGCACTGGACAAAACATGTGATCTGTTGTACGTAAGGGTGACAGCCAAGCTACTTTGGCCGTACCTGGACAATGTTAGACGTGTAGCATCGAGAGTAGCTCTTCTTGTCGCGCCATTTATGGATGTGCTCTCTCAGCTGCGAGTCTGCTAAATGTAGTGACATGAGTAACTTGGTTTAAAACAAAACAAAAACAAAAGTCACTCTGCCAGGTCAACCACTATTTTGAAAACTCTGGAGATGCTAACACTTTGTTTTTGCTAATGCTAACGCTTCATAATTGCTGAACATGCGTGGCCGCACCTCATGAAGAATTTTTGTCACAATTGTTAGCTTGAAACTATATTTTAATTGAACCTTTAGGGTACGGTAATGCATTAAAATCACTTTTATGCGAGTGTATTAAGCTAATTTTGGTTAGATTAGCTAGGAGGCTACTTTAGTTTTGCCACATTCTACATTTAAAATACTATACAAGACATAAGAGTGTCCATCGTAAAAATATAACCTTTCTATACATTATGCTAGCCGATATGTAGTGATGCCGCCCAGTCCGCTCTCAATGATTGACAGCATCAGATGTTGTCTTTCTGCTCCTGAGACAGGCAGCAGTTGTTTGGAGGAATAGCGAGGCGGTGTTGGAATTTAGCACTTGAAATACTCTCTTTGTTGAGTTATTCAGGTGAAATGCACTGAATTTTTATTTTATTTTTTTTACATCTTGTGATACAATTGTCCTCAAAATAAGCGATGCTTTTTTTTTTTCCAGTTTGTTGCTGTTTTTCTTTCATTTTGAAATCTTAACCTTCAGTCTTGGCACAGAGAGCACTTTTATTGGCGCCGCAATAATTTTGTCAAATAATTACCTGTAACGCCCCTTCCCCATTATGTAATGGTTTCCTTAACCGACTAAAATCTCTTCTCAGTTACCATTCCGTGACATACAACAGTCATTATTGCCATGTTGTGGTAGCTTGCAGTAGTGTGGTCATAGAGGACTGCACTTTTTTTTTTCCAGTAGAATGCATGATGTGCACTATCGCCTTTAAAAACACATTTTTACTCGTTGGCTTTTGACTCTTCGTGACACTCGACATCATGTTAGGGTTTTTTTATGGTGTTTACTTATCGAAGCGTCTTGATTTGATGACAAATTCTTACTGCGTTGCGGAGGTGGTCGTTTTCAAGTGCTCTATAAATAAAGCCGAGTTGTGAGGCTGAGGCTCTCGTGCGAAAATGGTGGCAGAAGCCCAATTTCACACTTGCCGAGCCCCTCCTGAAAGCCTCCTCTCGTCAAAATGGGCCCGTTGAACTGTACGACACAAAAAGCAGCCACAAAATGCACCTTGTAAAGCGACGTTGTCTAACGATCAATTTCAGCCCGTTTGGGGAACGATCTGTCGGTTTCATTCCTGTGCGGAAGAGAATGAAAACCGTCATCTGTTGTGTGTGGGTGTTCCTGCACCGTCGCCGCGGTAACACCACAATAACTGCACCCACCCCAGAGATAAGCTGTCGAGGAATGGAACGGAGAGTTCAAATACACGCTATAAAGATCTCACTTCAGATGACGACCGAGGACAGCTGACTGCTGTTGGGCTCACTGCTGCCTCGCATGGTCTCTGATCGCAATAGACCTCAACAAATTGTTTTTTTTTAAGACGATGATAAATTGCTCTTACAAAATGAGAGATTTTGACCCCCCGCCAAAAAATGTGCATCATGTTTGCCTTATACAGCCGTAGGCAGAATTGTTGGTACCTTTCCATTATAGGGGGCAAATAACTTGAAACAGACAAAAAAAACAAACAAACACATTGCCCTGATGGCCTTTGCGTTTTCTTTTTTTTTTTTTTTTTTTACAGCAGAGACTTCTGGTTCTCGTCTCGAAGCGGATGACGGCGCATTGCGATGGACACGCCAACTCAAGCAGATGCCCCACAACCAGAGTGTGACTGAACACGACGCAGGTCAGTCACTGTACGCCTCGACGTCAGTTTTTGTCCTCTCTGTCTTCAATATCTTCATCATTGCGACACTACACGACTGCATCCATCGTTGAAAATTTGAGGAAGTAGGCTTTTATGGCACAATTGCGTGATACCTTGCGTCGTCAAACAAGTGCTTCAAGCCGTGTTAGGGTTGATTTTGGCGCCGTAACAAAGGAGGCAAAATGATTTATCACTCTCGTGTCGGTGAGGGGAAAGTTTATTAATGTAAAGCCATTAATATGTTTCAAGGCAGTTGCCGGGAAGAAAATCAGTTTAAAGTTGTGACGCGAATTGTCTTTTTTTGGAATTTGGGCATGATGATGGTGATGCCAAGCTGATTAGCTTCACTCGTCGCAACTGACACGCCTGCGCAAGAAAGAAGTCTCGTAGTGGCAAGATAAGCGCGCGCAGCTTCCTCATTTTCTCATTATTTGTATTCACACGACGAGACGGTGCGACCAAAATCCGGCTGCCACTCTTCCATTGTGTTCGTTGCACCTTCATTGCTACGGCTCACTCCACTGAATGTATGAAAATGATATTATGCTAATACGCGATCCTGCTTTTGCTATAAATACCCTTTGGTGCGGACGCTATATTTGGCGCTGCTCGCCTCTTCATGCACTTGGATGATCAATATATTATTATCAATACAGTACAATATTCATCAAGCCATTCTCAATCAGGGTGCCCATATTGCTGCTTTAGGGTACTGTCTGATACCGATATCGATCCAATACGATATCAACAGGGATGATACATGATACGTAAGCCGATTCCTGCTGTCGTAGGACGCACGGCAGACTACAACTCGGACCGATTAGTCAATCACAACGTGATTGTCTGACGGGAATCGAGCTGTCAAGTTGATTTGTGCCGACATGGTGAAATGGACCTAATTGTGTCCTGTGAGGACACAAGGTTGTTAAATGAGCCAACGTGAGCCTGGAAAGATTCGTTTTGACACAGCAGGTCCGGGTAGCCAGCATCGCCACTGTCTTCCCCCGGCGGGAGGCTTGGCAGCCATTACGGAATACGTTATGTGCTTGTGATTAAAAAGCCAGCGGCCGTCGCCGGAGGGATATCATCTCGGGGATTGCATGTCGATGTCCGGCCCCAGGCTCCTCTGTCTCATCTTTTCATCTGGCCTCTGCTTAACAAGATGGCAGACAGCGTGATCCAACTTCAGCTGACGATCCGCCGCTGAGGTTGTTGCCAGGCAACTAAATGCTAAGTTCTGAAGCCCAGACTGTTGCACTGGACGAAAATAGGCCGTACGTAGGGAGGGGGGGGGGGCAGTCAATTCAAATTATGGAAATGAAGCAATCGCTTCTTAATGAGTACGTCATCAAGGCTGCTAACAGAACACAGTGATGACAACCATCATGAAATAGAGAAAATATTAAAATATTGCACAACTGTCGTTCCAAAAATTGGACACGTCTCCAAAACTGACGAAAACGACAAGATGAATTCGGTCAGGGACGCACGCTGTCCGAAGGACAGACCCCAGCACCCTTTTCATCCTTGTATTCAGCCAACCTCAAAGGATGGCAAAATCAAAGACCAAATGCATCATTGAATTTACATGACACACCAGGGATGAAATATTCTTTTTTTTGCTTCCAAATGAAAAAAGGCTTTGGTCTTATACGTTCGGCAAATGCTAAAATGAAAGCAAATGAACCATGACTTAATATGATAAATGGTTTATACAGCCACTTAAATTAGATTTGTTACGTAACTCATTAAACAGTTTTAGTTGCACTCTTTTAAGCATTCACGACAAGTTCACAAATTTGTACCAAATGAGCGCAGCGTGAAATGGAAGTCGGAAAGTCAGGTTCTAACTAGAGTGGAAACCAATCGGGCGGCACTTACAAATGTGCAATTTTAAAAATTGCATTCGACATTGCGTTGTCGATTTGAATTAGATTAATTGTTCAGCCTTAGTTTGCATCCAGAGGGAGGAAAAAAAGAAGTTGGCCTCAGTGCTGGAATACTTTTGGAGGCGAGCCAAAGTGTTTGCATCTGCAGTCGCCGTATGTTGGGGAGCAGTAAAAAGACATCAAGCGAAAAGAGGCTCTCGGTCTAAGCCGGCGCGGATTCACGTGTTGTCAGAGTGACATATTATGACGTGCGTCACGCCGCCAGCGGAAGTAAACGGACGCGCACTCGGTGTGAGGTTCGCTGCAAACACGGCATCATTAAACCGCTCTCCTTCGTGTCTGCTTTTTGTCATTCTCCCGGTCCTCCCTCTCTCTCTCTCTTTCTCTCTCTCGCTCAGACCTCTCCTGAGAGTTTGGAAAGGAAAAATAAATATTTTTAGACATTGCAATCCTGAGCTGCTGTCACTTCTTTTTTTCTCTCCATTTTTCATAAACTCTAACCATGGGAAAGACACACAGCCACCCCCACCCCCCTGTCCCTCTTTGCCTTTGGCTTCCTACTGCCACCCATCAAAAAAAGGGGGAGAAAAAAAACATCCCTCTGAGAGAACGTTGCCGTGGCAACAGCCTTCATCAGAGCAACTCCTCGAAGGGCCCGTGAGAGCTCCACGTTATGGCCCAGCGTTTCCGGCGACGGTAACACCTGAAAGGGCGTAGCGTGACTTCAAGCAGCCTGGATGGCTCCGGCGTGCTTCTTGAGAGAGCGGAAATGTCAAGTGTGGCGACGACGTGGAGAGCGAAGCAAGTGCGGTGCCGCCCGCATCGGCTTTCCCCTTCACGTGTGATAACTTGACCATTGACATCCCAACGATTTCACTGATTTCAATCTGAAAAACACAAAATGAAAAATGGCTCGTGATGCCGAAAACTGGCCGCGCCGTGTTTGGGGGCAAGGCGAGCCTTACTGTGCTCTGGCACGGGTGCTAAAGTCTAAACATAACTGCGCAAACATTTACATTTTGCAACTCAACATGGCCAAATGTCTCCTCCTGTTGGCGGGCGAGGCCTCCTTTACCGACACAGATCGTTTCGATCATTTCTCATATCTTATCTAAGCTTATGTTAAATTATTAATTGCCATTTTATGTTTGAGCATCATATTATTTAAAACGCCTTACTATAGATGATTGTTTTTTTGGCTAAAAACGCCTTACTATCTATACATGGTTGTTTTTTGGGGCTAAAAACGCATTACGATACATGGTCGATTTTTCAGTTAAAAACGGCTTACTATACATGGCTGTTTTTTTTGGGCAAAAAACGCCCGACAATACATGGTCGTTTTTTTCAGCTAAAAATGCCTTAGTATAGTTAGTTAGTTAGTTAGTGCTCCAGCGAAGGTCCGGGGGTCCCGTCCCTGTGCGTTGAGCCGACCAGATGAACCAGGTTTTTACATGGTCGTTTTTTTCGGCTAAAAACGCCTTACTATACTATGTCGTTTTTTTCGTGCCAAAAACGCCTTACTATACATGGTCGTTTTTTTTCAGCTAAAAACGCCTTACTATACTTGGTCGTTTTTTTTTCGGCTACGACGCCTTACTATACATTGTCATTTTTTTTTGAGCTAAAAACGCCTTAGTATACATTGTCGGTTTTTTCGGCTAAAAACGGCTTACTATACTATGTCGTTTTTTTCGTGCTAAATACGCCTTACTATACAATCTCGTTTTTTTCGGCTAAAAACGCCTTACTATACGATGTCGTTTTTTTCGTGCCAAAAAAGCCTTACTATACGATGTGGTTTTTTTTGCCAAAAACGGCATACTATACTATGTCATTTTTTTCGTGCTAAAAACGCCTTACTATACTATGTCGTTTTTTTCGTGCCAAAAACGGCATACTATACTATGTCGTTTTTTTCGTGCCAAAAACGGCATACTATACTATGTCGTTTTTTTCGTGCCAAAAACGGCATACTATACTATGTCGTTTTTTTCGTGCCAAAAACGGCATACTATACTATGTCGTTTTTTTCGTGCCAAAAACG